TCTGCCTTCAGCTCATGTCGTGATCCCAGGGTCCTGGGATCGAGCCCTGCACTGGGCTCCCTGCTCAATGGAGAGTCTGCCTCCCCCCACTCCCCCCCCTTGCTCTCTCCCAAATAAAATCTGTAAAAAACTGTAAAATTCAATATAAATATAATTTATTGTATATATCTCCTTTATCTGCTTGCTTGGTTAATTATGTTAAAATCTGGTTTTTAGAACCTCCAGCTCCTTTTGAATTCTTTCCTTTCAGAGTCCCTGCTCCCAGGATCATACCTATTTTTTCTCTGAATATTTTGAAATCTCTATCTCCAGTAGCCCCTGCCTTTGCCATTATGAATGAATTCCAACAGTATATGACCACTTTCATCCAAGGTCTTATTTCCACATCAATCTCCTTCACTCTCAGAATTTTAAAAACCATGTTCAGGTTTAATGGATTCATCCCATAGAATCACTTTCTTAAACCTAAGCTACTGAAAACAAAAATTTTATTGCATCTGTATGGTAAGATACCCCCCCCCCAAGTTGAACATTTGGGAAAATTGTTCTCTCAGGCTGAAACATCCAATCCTCAAAATTTCTACGCAGAGCAAAAAGTGGCTGACACCAGATTCTTCCCACATCTGCAGGCACAATGACATCATCAACACAGGGCCTTCTCCTTCCCAACCCCCCACTCCAGGCTCAGACAAAAAGTTAGTGTGTGCACACAGAGCACAGTTACACGTCTGCTCCACAGTAGGCACTAACTGGCTTACATTTGTTTCTAGCTCTAAGCTCACCCTTTGAGTAAATTAGTAGTAAGAAAGCTACTGGAATCTGCAGATAAATACGTCTCTTCAAAAGTCCATATCTAAAAATGAATTCTCAGTTAAAATGTGAAATTCATTAGCACCAAATGAAATCTCCATTTACAAATGCATTCTATTAATTGACAAAGAATAGATTTTCAAAGTGGAACACTTACTGTTTTATAAAGTTTAACACTTTCCAAAATGTACTTTTTTTTTTTTTAAAGATTTTATTTATTTGACAGAAAGAGACACAGCGAGAGGGAACATAAGCAGGAGCAGAGGGAGAGGGAGAAGCAGGCTTCAAGCTGAGCAGGCAGCCGGATGCGGGGCTTGATCCCAGGACCCTGCGATCATGACCTGAGCTGTAGGCAGAGGTTTAACCGGCTAAGCCACCCAGGTGCCCCCAAAATGTACTTTTAAAATACCAAAGCACCTAAAGGAAAAGTTGCCTGTTTATCCTTTAAGGACATAGGGCAAATAAATTTTGCTCAGAAATTCATACATGCCTAATTGATAGTAGCACTTCAAAATATGAAAAGTTTCTAATATTTCACCAATCAAGTTATAGATTTAAAATGAGTCACCATGTTAAGCTCTAGGAAAATGCGAAGTTATTTTGTCTCTATGTTCATTACTACCAAACGTTTATCCTCAAAATGCATTTTCATTAATTTCACATCTAGGGGCTCCTGGCTGGCTGGAGGGTGGGGGCAGATGGTGAATTCAAGCCCCACATTGGGTGTAGAGCCTGGAAGGAAGGAAGGAAGGAAGGAAGGAAGGAAGGAAGGAAGGAAGGAAGAAGGGAAGGGAAGGGAAGGAAAGGAGAGGAAGACTGATTCAAATCTATTGCCCACAGCTGCTTTTGCCAGGAATTCTGTCTCATAACTTTTTTGTGTGTGTAATTTGAATACCACTTTGTTTACTGTCAATACACAGTAAGTCCTCCACAAACATGCAAAGAATTCTCTTCAATTCAAAATTATAAGGCATAAAAATCACTAGAATTGCAATATTTTTTTTTAAAATATAAAATTTTGAAACTCACTAAATGAAGAATAGCCATTTTCTCTCTCTCTCTTTTTTACTGAGGTATAACTGATGTAAGCTATTTCTTAAACATGAGTAATTTTAACAGGTTTATACCACCACTGTTGTTTTTTATTGTTATGTTAATCACCATACATTACATCATTAGTTTTTGATGTAGTGTTCCATGATTCATTGTTTGTGCATAACACCCAGTGCTCCACGCAGAATGTGCCCTCTTTAATACCCAACACCAGGCTACCCCATCCCCCCACCCTCCTCCTCTCTAGAACCCTCAGTTTGTTTTTCAGAGTCCATCGTCTCTCATGGTTTGTCTCCCCCTCTGACTTACTCCCCTTCATTCTTCCCCTCCTGCTATCTTCTTCTTTTTTCTTAACATATGTTGCATTATTTGTTTCAGAAGTACAGATCTGTGATTCAACAGTCTTGCACAATTCACAGTGCTCACCATAGCACATACCCTACCCACTGTCTATCACCCAGCCACCCCATCCCTCCCACCCCCCACCACTCCAGCAACCCTCAGTTTCCTCAGACTGGGCGCCTGGGTGGCTCAGATGGTTAAACGTCTGCCTTCGGCTCAGGTCATGATCCCAGGGTCCTGGGATCGAGTCCCGCGTCGGGCTCCCTGCTCCTTGGGAGCCTGCTTCTCCCTCTGCCTCTCTCTCTCTCTCTCTCTGTCTTTCATGAATAAATAAATAAAATCTTTAAAAAAAAAAGATACATTCCTAAGTTCCTGCTACAAGAGCAGGAAAATGCCTTGGATTTCACGATTTACAGGTGAACTGATTTATAAAGGCCCTTACTAGTGCTTCAGGAAGAGAGATTTTTATCTGTTTTGTTCACTGCTGTTACCCCTGTCTCCCCAGTGGTACAAAGGATTTCGATTAGTATTTACTGGACTGAAAGCACCTATGTCTGCAGATCGCTTAGTAGGAAGTCAGATCCAAACCACCTGTAGGATCTCACCTCTCACACCATGAGAGAACGTAGAGCAATCTCCCGTACAAAAAGAAAATGAGCTCCTAGAGAATGGAGAAGGGGAAGACAGACACTTAAGGAAACTGACCCCAGACTCAGCCTTTACACACTGCCCCAATGTGTTCACTTCAACGGGGTGTCAAAAACCTCACCAATTTAGACACTCATTTAGGTTAACAAGTCTGGTCTTTTTAAGAATGGAGGAACCATGGGATGCCTGGGTGGCTCAGTCCGTTAAAAGTATCTGACTCTTGATCTCAAGTCTTTATCTCAGGGTCGTGAGTTCAAGGCCCGTGTTGGGGTCCATGCTGGGCGTGGAGCCTACTTAAAAAAAAATTCTAAAAAAGCAGGAACCATTCAACAACCTTACTGAGGTAAATATGTCATCAGTCCATTTTGCTGATGAAACTGAGGTTACGCAGCCAATTTACATTCCTAGTGTCACAAAGTATGTATATGTACAGCAGGACTCAGAATCTTGAATCCCACAGCGATGCTACCTCCCCAGGGACAAAGGAATAGAACTAACCCTCATCCACACATCAGCTGCATGTGAGCTCCCAATACCCTTCTTTCCAACACCTAAAACAAGCTTTCTCAAAGAGGGGGCTTTCGTTTGGGGTGACAGGTAAGCAACAAGTAGTTTTAAAACATGGAACACTCTGGAGGCAAGAATCTAGAAGTGAGGATCGTGGATTTAGGGTGCTAGAGGGAACCAAGCCCCAAAGAAAAACCACAGATTTCAAAACACTGCACAGGGCCAACTCTTGCTCCAGAACAGCTTGCCTCTCTCTCTTCCTCTTCCTTCCCTTCCCCGTGACCCTCCTGGTTCTCAGCACCAGAAAATAGGCTACCATTGTTAGTGCCATAGTTTGGCAACATGATGTGATCCAACTACAGTGACTGGCACAGAACAGGGACACAAATATTTACTAAATGAACCAAAGACCAAAGTTGTTTCTGCGGGCACGCTGGGACCCTAACTGCCATTTTTAACAAAGTGGAGACAAGAATGCCCTTTAAGCACCTGATTGTTGGTGTACAAATGAAGTTTTAAAGGGCAGGTCTACACTGGGGGCAAGCTACAAGGAAAGCCTTGCAGGATTCTCTTTCCTCAGTCAGTATACAAACAGCTTAGCACTTCAGCACACAAATACAGATCTCAGAAGAGGCATGATGTTTTAATATTTAGAGTATAAAAACAAAACCATTACCTTATTTAGGCTGCCTTGTTTAGGTCATTTTAACATGAATAGCGGCTTAAAAAAAAAAAAAACCCTCTCAGCATTCTCAGGATGAGTGTGGGGGTGGAGAAGATAGCAGACATTTTCCAAAAAGTTAGCAGTGGGGAAAAAACAAAAAACCAACCCCACAGAAAATACCAAAAGGGAGAATGGTTCCTTTAAAAACATGGCCAGTGATGTATACAAATATATGTTTTATACCAAATAATGAGACAGAGCCCGTGTTTTTAGGAAGACATGAGGGTAAGACAATTCTTGAAAATTTTACCCACTTCCCTTTTGGTCAGCACCGGTGCCCTGAAGACTTGGCTCCTAGTCCCAATCGGTATCAGATTCTTCATAATGTGAGATTTTTCAGGCGTCAAATTACAGTCAAACTACTGGGGCAGAACAAGAGCCAAAAGCAACAGGGAAGATGCCCATTTTCCTCTTCCACCCTCCTCCCACTTGCCACTTAAGAAAAACGGCACGTTTTCCCGTTCGAAAAGGGCCTCATCCTCCGAGATCCAATGCAGCGTTAAGTCTGGGATTTCGGGAACAAACCTGCCGATCCCCAAAAGCCAGGTTAAAACCTCATCCACCATGAATTAGTTCTGCGCTCCTCCACCACCTCCTTTGTCTCAACTGTCCCCGCAAACTCGCAGTCCAATGCCCTCCCGTAAACAAGCTACCTAAACGAAAAGGAACGTATTCTAAGTCCTCCGAAAAGAAGAGGAAGCCCCCCAGACACGTCTGGAGCCCCCCCTGCCAGCCGCTGAACAGGCCGGGCTGCACACGACGGAAAGCTCGGCCCCGGGGCCGCCGGCCGAGCGGAGCGGAGCTGCGAGCCCGGCCGGGGTGGGGGCGCCGCGCCCGCCGCCCCCGCGCCCCAGCTCTCCGGGGGGCCGCCGCCCGCCCCCCGCGCCGGCTGCTCTCTCCGCGGCCCCGCACTCACCTCCGTGGATGGGCAGCGGCGCCAGCACCTGGCCGCGGACCTCGGCCTTGGGCGAGTCGAGCCCGTAGCGCCCGCGGTCGATGCGGAACGTGAGCGGGGCGCCGCGGCCGGGCTCCTGCACCGTCACGTTGATGAGCGCCGTGTAGTACTCCTGGCTCGCGTTGTCCGCCCGCGCCGGCCACAGGCTGCAGGTCAGCAGAGCGAGCGCGGCGAGCCGGGCCGGGCCCGCCCGCGCCGCGCCGCTCATCGTCCCTCCGGCCGCCGCCGCCGCCGCTGCTCGCG